CCCCCCCAGCTCTGCTGCACGCTTGGGAGCAGTGGGACTGGCCACACACACCACAGCCTGAGCTGCCCCCCACCCCTGGGCCAGGTGGGGCCAAGGGACCTGCCACAGGCTGGATAAAATCCCTTGGTGGGTCATATATTGCCTGCCTCTGCTCTCTGATTTACTCCTTTAGAAAAGAGGTGTCAAATTCATCTGGCCCTGAAGGCTGGATGAAAGGTGCAGGGCAGGTCCATGGACTAGATCAGGTCCACGATCCTGATCAGGTCCATGAACCCCACACCCCTGCATGACGTGCATATCCCAGGCCCTGCACATACTCCATGCCACACATAGGTCAACTCTGAGACCCAGGGGCAGCACAGGAAGCCAGATGATTGAACTTGGTGGGACAGATCCATCCTGCAGGCTGCATCTTTGACACCCCTGCTTAAGAGAACATAATTCTAGTTCTTTGTAATCCTTCTAGTTCCTAGGTCCTCTGGTGATGATGTAACATCTCCAGATACCTTCGAAAATGGGCTGAATTTCAGTATCCTAATTTTCCTTTTTATGTCTCAGTGGGTATGTCTACATGTTCATTAATGTGCCGTAGTTACTGTGCATTAAGTATAGTACTTGGATAACTAAGGACTAAATCAGTGTGCAGTAACTGGCACTACTGTGCAGTAGCACCAGTGCACAGGTTTTTACAGATGTTAACTGTGCAGTAGCCTAATACCAATGTCATTGTGTTGTTGTGTAATTAACAGGCATTTTGTTTCTCTCTTCCCGCTGAATCCAGAACATTTTTGATAATCTGGACACTTTATTTAGACATCCAAGCTATTATAAAAATCCTGCTCCAACTGTGGGGGTCAATTTTTTCTGAAAATATGGCCCTAGCTTAACATCACATTAACTACAATGTAACCGCAATATTCTGCATCTTATCCAGCTCCTATTGGTGTCAATAAGTCTTTTTTTTATCGACTTCACTGAGAGGTGGATCAGGCTCTTTTATTTAGAAATTTCTTGACAATTTTTGCTTTTAAATAAAAAGCTATTTTTGAATTACAGTGCTTGAGGCTTAAGCACTAGATTCTTGTTTATACTTTCATTCAAAATAAAAGGAACCAAATCAGCGTTAGGGTTTATAAAGATAGCAAGCAAGCAAACCATCTTTAAAAATATCCTCTAAAATAAGATCATTATAGTAGGTTGTTTTTCATTTCATTTTCAAATAAATACTGCAGATTAGATAGTGTGTGCGACTAACCACAACTGGAACATACAAAAAGTATTAAAAATATAAAGAGTAAGTTTGTCTACAACTCAAAGCATACAGAAATAAAACCTACTAGCAATCCTTTAGATCATACTCTGTAGCGTGGTTACAAGACCACAAATAATAAAGTAGGGCTTAGCTTCACTTTAAGCAAGCTAAGGTAAATTATACAAACATTTATGCTACACTTTGCTAGTAGTGATTTAAAGAACAAATAATGTTCACTGCAACAGAAGCTGCAAAATAAAACATGAAACACTGACCTAGCTGACTGAAGACTATGGTCCTGGTTTTCCACCTAAAACGGAATTCAAAAGACCCAATGACAAAGATTAAACACAGGAAACTATAAGTAAACTGTGGTATTCAAGTCACTTCCCTTCCCTTCTTTTCTATTTTTTATTTTTGTTAAGTTTTCTTTCTCTACAACCACTGTGTTACAGAGAATCGAGAGATCTGTGGCCCTAATTCTACAGCTCATGGATTTTGTGGGGTTAAGATAAATATTTTAAAATAATTTTTTTCAAAGTATATGAAATGACCACGTGCCTCAAACCATCCAGGACACCAGGGGATGTCAGATTTTTTTTTTTAACTATTGAACATGTGCATTAAATTATGAGATACACACTGAAAAACTATTTGCACAGTGGCCTGGACCAGAGGCATACTAGCCAGAACCAGGTGGCAGTCTCACCTGGTGCAGAGGCAAAGGCTAGAAATTTGCTGCTGCTGAGCAAATGTTGCCTCCTTTTAGCCATCAACACATGTCTTCAGCAGCCTTTTAACAATTTGTAGTGCCTAAAAAGTGAGGTAACATATCTCCCCACACCATCACCATCTGCCCGAGCCAGAACTGGACCAATGCAGAGAAGGGACAGGGTATAAGGGACAGGATGGGGGGCAGGAAGGTAAGACACCCACTAATCCTATTCTGGCACCTCTCCCTTAGACAGCATCCAGGGCTTGTGCCTCACTCACCCATCCATTTATATACTACTGGGCTGTACTTAAAAATATATTTATACACATAAGAAAATGGGTTAGTGTGGGAACTCATGTTCTGCGTGAGGCAATAAGTTCTCTAAAGGCTAAAGCTGGGTCAGAGCACAAGGACTGTACCACTGTCATTCAGGTTTAGATCATGAGGAGTGCCTGTACCACTCGCTCCGGGTGCTGAAGACACTCACTCTGCACAATTCCAAACTGTGTGGAAACCACCCAGGCCCACCTTAAGAATAGCCATTTGTGCTGGCCTCCATAGAGTGCAAGTTGTTAGGTACGGGTCTCTGCATGTAAAAATTTTATCCAGGACACTGAGTTTTTACAGAAATTAACTTTGTTAGCTCATCCTAGTCCCCAACAAAAAGGCACTCTCTAGATCAACTAATGTTCTGCAAAATGTCAGTTAAAAATACATTCTTTTCAGATAATACAGAAGAGGTCCTATCAAAATTTTACCTAGAAATGCTAACAAAATACTCCCCACATTACATTTCCTCACAACTAGTACAAAATAGAAAATGTGGTCCTTGCCTGGCATTTTGGAACAATCAGCTCATAAGGAAACATAACAAAAATACTACCAATGTTACCTATAGTTTTGCAGATAAGCTGTAATAAAAAAAAATACTTAAAAAAGAACCATGCATTTACTTTGCTTTCACAGTACACAAGTTCAATGGAATATTTCTTTGTTTGGTTAGTAAATGATCGTTATAGTATAAAAACATATAAATGCACTTCACTGACAGCTATTCTCCAGAACTCTAAGTAAAATACCTAAGATGCTCAATACATTTGTTCTGCTACTTATTTTTGGTTTGACAAAAAAAAAATGCATGGGTTTTTCCCCTAATCCACTTCTTAAAGCCATGCAGCAACCCACCTACAACGTATTTTGATTCTAAAAAGAAGAAAAGGCTTAAGAACAGTGAAATGTATTTTAAGATCTAATATTATTTCTTAGATCAGTTCTGCTATTTTTCTATTAACTACTTTCCTTAAGAAAAACAAGGCAAGTCAGTGACTTGCTGTATTAAAAAAAAAATTAACATCAACCAGAAGCTGCGTTTGCCTGAGGTCAACTATAAAGCTATTTTTCAGTGCTGTGGTTCGGGCACTTAAATACCATACCGTATATATGTGAGGTAGGTAAAAGAAAACACAGACACACACAACACAGACACACACACACACGTAAAAAGATGAACACAATGATTCCTTCTTTTCTCCCAATCACTTGTTTAGGCTTTGCAATCTTCCTGTACACAGAGCTGTGAAATAGTCTTCTTAATGCGAAGCGCAGTGAGGCGGGCTGCTCCATTAGCACACCAGCACTCGCGCATTATTCTGCCCATGACTCTGAGTGCCTTAAGATAAAAGAAAACAGGTTAGAAATAAAAACACTTCTACTGCCTTCATGTAGCAATGAATTAAGAAAACACACTGTAACATATAATAAAATCCTTTGGAATCAAAATCCAATGGAAATGGCAGTAAGTTTGGCTACAAAAAGATGTTGTATTTGTCTCAAGATAAAACACTTCATCCTGGGACAAAGTGCAATTGTTCAAACATCCACATCCATTGTTCCTGGACAAATCCTGGAAAGGTTGACAGGATAAGAAGTGCTAACAGTTCATCTTGGGACATCTCAAAGTGTGTCCCAGAACAGTTATCCCAGAATTACACTAATCAAGCAATAGCAGAAATATGGAAGCGCATTCAGCCACACACTAAACCCTCATTGTGTACATGCCAATCCTGGAACATGTATGTCCTGGGACAAATACAGGCACAACTTGTCCTAGGACAAATGTAACATCTATTCCAAGCCCTAGAGATTTTCATTTTGGGCTTGTCAAAGAAAGAAATTAGTTTCATATTTAATCCTAATGGACAACTTTTTCTGTATTCCCCCCAAAAATAAAGGAATCTAAGACCATGGGCAGGTTTTCAGGTGCAGTAGTAAGAATTTCTGGGAAATTCATAGTGTTGAGAAAATGTTGAGAAGCGGCACACAAGCCCCTGGCCAGACAGCTGTATGGACGCCTCAGAGGCAAGCTGTCCAGCCAGGAGGCAATAGTGAGCTGCTCCTTGACTGTCCCCACCAAGGGGGAAGGCTGTCAAGAAACCATTGGCAACAATCTAACTGCTTTCCTCATCTCCAACTTCTGAACAGCCCTAGGGAGTCCTCGAAACTGTTCAAAAGGTGGGGGGACATTGGAACTGCCACTTGTGCAGTCCCCGAGTGCCCCAGGGTTGCTCAAATGACCATAGCAACAAGGTCCCCACAGGGCTCCCCAACACCGGGTGGGCCATCAGGGAACCTCTGTTCTCCCTCTGTCCCTCCCTCCCTCTGACTGTGGGATATTGAACAGGTGGCACACATGGCACTAGTAAATAGCAACATTGTTTTTAAAGAGCTAACTGCTTGTGGTTGAATTGCTATGTTTCATGGAGGTGAAACACAAGATTTCATGTGGTGGAAACGCCTATCCATACCCTAAGAAAGTTAGGTTTCTAAATCGTATTCAAATTCAGCGGAAGCTGGGCGCCTAATTCCCTTGGCTAAGTACAGACATTCAAAAACCCCAAGCCTGGGGCATAGCCAGACACTGGCCAGGGCAGTGCCTCAGGCAAAGGGGAGTGGGGGGGGGAATAAACTCCCCTGTCTCCCCTCTGTCTCATAGGTATGGGGACCCCACAAATGGGGTCTGCCCGGCTTTCCGTGCCACTGGCCACTTGTATGGCAGGGGGTGCAGCCAGAGCCAGCTGGCATGGCCCCTGCCATCCACCTGCCTCACTTGGGGCTGGGGCTAGAGGGTTAAGCCGGGCCAGCCCGCGGGCACTGCTGAGAGCAGGTGTGGAGGGGCGAAGCTGGGCTGGGCCGCAAGGGCAGGGTCCTTCCCAGCCAGCTGCAGCTCGGGATGGGGCCACAAGAGCTGTGTGCCCAGGCTGCTCGCAGCTCCCTGCACCCAGCTCCTAAGCTGTCATGGAGATGCAGTGCCTGCAAAGAATCTGTCACTCATGATGCAATTGGTCCCACTCAGCCCCGGGCAAGGCAGACAGATAGCAGAGCTGGCCTGGGATGTGCCATGGGAGCAGGGCCATTCCCAGCCAGCTGCGGCTTCATGACAGCCCAGCCCAGCCTAGCCTGGGTACAAGGAGTCAGGAACAATCCAGGTGCCCAGTTCCCGCAGCTCCAGCCTGAGCCACAGCCAACTGAGAAGGGCCCTTTTCCTGCAGCCCAGCCCAGGCTGGCCTCTCCATGCCCACCCTTAGCAGTGCCTGTAGGCTGGCCCAGCTCAGCCCCCCCAGCCCCAAGCAAGGTAGGCGCACGGCGGAGCCATACCATCCTGCTCTGGCCATGCCCCCTGACCCTACCGCTGGAGTGTCAAAGTCAGGGGAGACCCTGACTGGGGCTGCTCCGGCCCAGCCAGGCAGACCCCAGCTGTGGTTCCCCAGGGGGAAAGGGGAGAGAAGGGGGAATAAACCCATGCCATGTCAGCTTAGGGGGCCATGCTGGCTGGCATCTGGCCATGCTCCTGCCCCTGCTCTGGCTAGACAGCAGGGGGGCAGAGCCAACCCTGCTCTCTGGAGCAGACAGGACAGCCCAGTCCCAGACTGAAAAGCATGCTGGGATACTCGGGGACTCTGATTTAACTTCAACAAGGAAGGTCTGGGACACAAGTTCCATAAACCAGTTTAACCCAAATCAGTTCAGTCTGATATTACATTAAACTAGGTTTATCATAAACCAATTTCAGCCATTTTGAAACTGGTTTATGTGCACTGAACTTCTGTTCTGTTACAGGTTTAAACCAGTTTCTGATCACTTAAACCAGTTTATGTGTACCTTCTGTCCCTAGCCCTTCAGTGGGTTTGAAAATCCCCACCTCATCAAGTATAACTCAATATACTTAAAAAAAAATCCCTTTTACCTCACAACTTTGCCACTGGTTTGGAATATTTGGCCTAAGTTTCTGCTCACAAACTGCCCTTCTCATGTCTTCTACTGAAGGATCAGAAGGCACAACATCATAAAAAGGCAACTGGTACTCCTCAACAAGTCCTGCAAGAGAAATGTTGTGCAGCTGAAGTGCATAGGTCAAATGAAAGCAGATGCTCCAAAATAACTTTGATTATGCTTCTCACTGACAAAAGAACTCTTGCTAATATGTAACTGTGAATGTATTCATCAATACTTGTTACTCCAGATAGTGTCTACTGCTATTATTACTTTTTAGTGTACAAATCAATATACAATCAAATAGTCACAGCACTGGATATTGTAAATGGACATGCAGCAAAGTTATGTTCTGTTGCCACAAAGATTTGGCTAAAATTGTTATAGTAAAAGCTTCTTGAACTAGAACATATTTAAATATTAAAAAACCTCTTCAACCTGAAGCTCTGCTACAATGTTTTGCTATTAGGACAGCTACCAAAAATGTGATTTCAGTGTCCTGAAACTATTTGCAGAAAAAACAAAAATTCCAAGTTCAGTTCCAACTGAACCAATTTTCTGGGTTTTGTTGACTTTTTGTTTGACAGCTGTACCAAAGAAATCAATTATTCATATAGCTCTAGTCAAAACACTGTATAATTTTGAAAAAATACAGATATCAAACTTGGAGGCCAAGAAGCGAACTCACACAACCCCACAGCTCATTCAAATCTTACTATGTCACGGTTGCCATCTTATTTAATTCTTTCCCACACTCTAATGATATGTACAGAGACCTCCTCTCTTCTTTGGTATAAGGAAATGTCAAAAGAAGCCTCTTCCCTTGTATTGTTTGCCCTTTTTCTAAGATTCCTAGATGAAGCAACAAGGCCATTTCTTCCTGCAACAGGCTGTCATGGGAGGGCTCCCAGAAGATAAATTGGAAAGGCAAGGAAAAAAAGAATAAAGCAGGATAAAGTAGCTGTGGGCAATGATTTATAACTTCCATGTCTTCAATTCTAAGGCAGACCAAAGGTCAGGCTTCCTGGACTGGCTAACTTCGGCTCCTGAAAGTCCCATCGAATTTGCTGATGCACAACTGAAGTGGGACATGTTACTGAACAGGCAGATGTCCTAGTTTCTTCCTAGTCTGATAATCAGAGGAAGCGAAAACTGCGTAATGTGATAAAATAGGTTTCTCTGGCTTGCCTGGGGAGAATGACTGTACAGATGGGCCCAAAGCTGGTGGTATGTTGACAATTAATGAGTCTTTTTGCATTATAGATGTCTCTTTCTAGAGTCTGTGCTATTCTTGTAAATCATCTGGTGCCAGCACTGACGACACAGGTTTGCTGCGTGACAAAGACAAGAGGTTGTTAGGGCACATGGCAGGACTTTACTGTTGCTCTGGCCAACAATGCCAGTGCAGTCTTCTACTTTCTAGAACTGGATGGGGATCAGATCTTAGAATAGTGTAAGGGCAGATCCCAGCAAGCAGAATAGGGCCACAGAGTAAAGAAATTTTTCCTCTGTGCCATGCTGGTATCACTAGCCTTACATGCTGTTGAAGAATTAGTGGTTTTCTTCCTAGAGGCCTTAATAGCTTTGCCTGGTAGAAACACACTGATCTTTGCTCTTGTGTTCAGGTGGCCTCTCCTAACACTGGCTTCAGCACTGGATGTATTAGTCTTGGCTTTAGTGCAAGTAGCAGTGCTGTAGCAGGATAGATCTACACCTGAGGGACTGATACATGGAGAAATGTCAACTCCTGCTGTCTCAACTGAGGTGGCTGCTTTTGTTGCCCCTCCTCTCTCCACCCTTCACAAAAGGCAGCTCCTGAGGCTGTTGCCCTGGTCCTAGGGTGGCCACCTGTTCCTGATTGGGCAGGACAGTCCCAAAGTATGAACATCACATCCCAGTCCTAGGCTGAATGACTCCAGGACCGCATTTGTCCCAGATTCCCCTCAACACATTCAACTATCATGCGAGTAGCATGTGCAGGGATCTGGGTTTTCCATTTGTTGTGAAAAAAACACGGATTTTCTCCTTTGAAGGAGAAAAATGCAGGAAACGGTGGATTTCCCCCACAGGCTGGCGGGGTTCCAGAGTTCTGACAAGCCACCCATGGCTCCATCCTGCTCTCCCCAGCCTGCAAGGGGGTGCTTAGGTCTGGGGGGAGCAGGATGCAGGGGGCACCACATGCACGCGTGAGTGTGCACACACTCAAGTGGCCAGCAATACATCCAGCCAGCAGTGGAGAGCAGCTCTCCTAGCTGTCTGCCAGTAAATCTATGGCGGGGAGGTGAGGGGCATAGGTGACACAGGGTGGGGGAGGGCAAATTGAGGCCCCCATAGTGAGGGAAGGAGTAGGGCTGGCAGCTAGGGCTGAAGGCACTGCCCAGCCGGGTCAGTGCATGGAGCCTGGGGCCAGGGTGGGAATGCGTGGCTGCAAGGCTTAGCTAAGGGGGCAGGATAGAGCCATAGGTGGCTTGTCCAGGGGGCAGCAAGGGACTGGCTCCCTGCTACTGAGTGCACTACCAGGAAGCTGGGAATGGGGGCACGTGTCCCCCAGACTTGTGTGCAGGGCAGGGGAAGATGCAGGCTGTCCACTGCAGGCTTGACTCTTCCCACCCTGCTGCCCTCCACCGGGAGTCCCCGCAGCTCAGCAGGTGGGACCCCATGTGGGAGGCCAGAGCAGGATAGCATGGTGCTGCTGCCACTGCCAAGAGCCCTGTGCCAGCTGCACCGCCATGGCACCCCCACAACTCCGCACCACCGCCCCCACTGCTGCCTGGCAGGCAGGGGGGATTCACTATGGTAAAGCAACTGGTGCGAGGCTCCTGGCAGTGGTGGCAGCACCAAGCCACTCTGCCCTCCCACTCCAGGCTTGCCAACTGGGCCATGGAGGCTCTGAGGGAAGGGCAGCAGGGCAGGGAACCCCAAGCCCTGAAGTGGGCAGCCCATATCCTCTCCTGACCCCACAGGCTCTGCTCAGCTCTGCTCCCACCATGCCACATGCCATCTGCAAGGGGTGGAGGGGCAGGCATGTTGATTGAAAAGGTGGTCACCCCCACTCCATCAGACCATTGAACTCCATCAGACTAGTAACATGTTCTCGTTTTAAACACTGCAAGTTTGTCAGACAGGACTTTTGAAGAATTTTTTGTCTAATATCTGATGGGAATCTTGTCTTGTCTGCTTCTCAGGAAGCCTGTTCTAGATAGACTGTTCCAGCAAATGGAAGTTCAGTTACATCTCTCACAACTTGCACATCTTCAGAGAGAGGAAGAGCACACCAAGTGCCTCTCTAAGAACAGGAAAGGCCTCTGATAACTTTTTAACACAAATATCCTACTGCAAAAGGCCAGGACTGGTAGTCCACAGATTCAGAGTCTGCCACATTAAGGTACCTATACTGAAAGTCTTGTACACAAAAGTCTGACCAGAGAAAATCAGTCCATGCAGGTCAAATTCATTCACAGCAGGTCTTTCAAGGGGAAACAGAAGAGTTCTGAAGAATGTATTTTTCAGAAGAATTATGAAAGACTTAGCCAGAGTTATGAACTAAAAGGTTAGACACCCTGGTGGTTGTTTCAGTCTTGGGTGGTAAGAAGGAACTAAGTGCCATCTGCTATTTATGCCCTGGGAGCTCAAGGAGGCACAGGGCACATCCACATTTCCTTTTGAGGAAATCACTGCAAGTCATGCAGCACTCCTGCTTCCACATCCAATCTTCATAATTCAGAGGGGGAAAAAAGAAAAGAAAAGGCACATATACTGAAACAGCATGTTCCTTTAAATTCTTTTTTTTTAATCAAATTTGAGTTGGGAAAGAGGGGGGAGGGGAGGGGAAGAGACCAGAAATTTTACCTCCAATTGAGCATCTTCGTGATATCTCCCAGTACACCAAACCAAGAGAGTATATGTCTGCACGCTTGAAAGATTCAAAGATATTTACGTTCATTACATCATCAAGTATTTCAGGAGCCATGTACCTTTAAAAAAAATAAAGATACATATACAAATACATACACCAAGTATGTCAGTTGACAAGTTATTACTAAGATCCTAATATCTGGCATGGAGGTATTTGGAAACAATATGTTGGATTGTCATAATTACTTGCCATCACTTTTACTGAACTTGATCAGTAGTGCTCAACTGCCATGGCCCACATGAATCCAGTCTGTGGGGCTCCCCATAGGTCCAGAAATTCGGTGGTGGGGGAGCAATTAACTCAGCCACCACTCCTGCTGCCAAATTTATAGATATGTGGGTCACCCTACAGGCTGGATGACATGACCCCATAGGCCAGATCTCACTGGCATGTTGGGGTCACTCTGCAGCTGGATCCAACACATGGAGTCAGGTCAGCGTGTGGGATCAAGTCGCAAAAGCATCTAGCCAGTGCATGGGATCACTGCAGACAGCTGGTGTACAGGGCCAAGCTGGAGTGCTCAGTAACGCACACGAACTGGCCTGCTGTTCTGACCCTACATTGGATCCAGCCTGCAGAATAACCCCACCCATGGGATCTGGCCCACAGATCAGCCTTGTGCCATTCATCTGGCCCACAAGGTCAGAAGGTTGGGCACCACTGGCCTTGACAATTGATTCCTATCTCCATTTAGGACATGAGCACACAAAGTTACTAAGGGTGGGAAGACCCACAGCATGTCAGCTGTTCCAGAATAACTGTCTGTGTGTATATGCTCCTGGTCTTTTCTCAACAAAGGACAAACTAGGGCAGGTTAGCTTTCATCTACCCCAAGGCAAGTGTGTACATATGCAGTAAGTATAGAACAGCTGATAAGCTGTGAAACCCCACCCTCCTTTACCTTCCAGTAATTTGCTTGCATTTCATTTGCCCATGCCCTCACTTATTTTATCTGCATTCAAATATATTACTTAGATTCTGAAAAGTCCAAAAAAGGGCCATTTTGACCACATCTGACTATACATGGCACCAATCTAAGAAGTTTGTTTGATGAAAGATTCAAGAATCACCATCTGAGTTGAACCATGCTCTTTGATCCAACCTTTAATAATAGGCCTCAATACCCTATATATATTTTTCTGTAAACAAAGTTTAGCTTGGGTTATTTATTCAAGATATTCATCTAAAGTCTAAATGTTTTGTGTGACCATTATGCGTGTGTGCCAACACCATAGTCATATAATGTACTGCTTCCCCTGGTCCTCCTTCAGAGTAATTAAGCTTGCTAAACTTTTGATTAATATTGTAATAATTTTCTGATTTTTTTTTCTCTCTCTTAAAAATCTTGCACTGAAAGAAACAAAATACTTCCTATGATGAACAATCTTTCTGTTTTGCTTAATAACCAAACAAATACAGGGCCCAGCTAGCTACTTCAGCTGAAGAGGTTCATTCCATCTCTATTTATATTTGATCTTGAGGTTTTATTTGCTAATAAAGTTTCGCCTACAAGACAAACCGGATTGTATTTAATGGCATTAGTGGGCCAAAAGTACTATTGAAACTGAAAGAAAAGTAAAATGTATCCTGATCTCAGTAAAGCCTGAGTGAGGAAGAAAGGCAGCAGCTCAGCATGCAGTCAAGGATGTCAACAACTGGCTGCTGTCACTCTAAGCCAATGGTTCTTGACCTTTTTAGATTCGCTATCAATTCCTATTTGAAATTTCTGATTTCATCTTGCAATAGGTTTACTGTAGCACCCCAGATGAGAATTACTGTTCTGGACAGAACTAGGACCTAGAGCCATGCTTAAGGATTTTATTAACATCTAGATATTTAACATCAATAGCTACATAGGCCAACCAAAAGAAGCCAGCTTGTTATCTAACATCCGAATTTAGGAGCAGGATCATTGTCTATTATGTGGTTGCTCTCTCTTTAAATTCAGAGACATCCCATATAATTTTATGGCCAAGGGAAGGTTTGAGACAATCTCCTTACATGGCTACCTTTGCCCCCTATTGCCATACTGAATTTGAAAGAGCCCTGACCTTTCATCCTCCTTAACAATTCCTTCATACAATGCCCAGATTTAGGATCTGGATCTGCCCTGAGAAAAGAGTCCAAGCAGAGCTTGAAAGGAAAGCCTGAGAGTGGAAGAAAAGGAATGCCCCATACTTCATACAGTGCTTGAAAACTGCACAGAAGTGGAACAGCCTGAACTCCCTCTGGTGGTTCTCCCTTAATACCTTTCTTTATCAAATGCATCAAAGCTCTTACCTCTTTGTTCCCACTCTAGGATTCAGAGGTATGTCAATTGTGTTCAATACAGAATCATGCTTAACAGCCAGCCCCAAGTCTGCAATGGCACAGGTTTCATTTTTTTTCACCAAGATGTTTTTGGATTTCATATCTCTGTGTGCAATAGCTGGTTTGCCTGGTAACACCACCAAAAAACAACAGAAGAAAACACCCAACCATTATGATGAATGTTAATATGGAAAAAAATAAAAAAATAAAAAACTAACACCCCCCTCCCAAAAAAACCCAGCTTATTGCCATTTTCCTTCTCAGTTTAGCACAAATTAGACTCTGCCTGCCATTACTTACCACAGACACACAATAAACGCTTCTTTCATCCAGACATTCCTTTTACTCTTAAATCCTATTTCAGGACCACAAAGTTTCCCATAATCGACACTCCTACTCTATTCAGGCATGCAATAACCCGGTACATACCACTGGTATCCTAGTGTTTGAATAGATAAGTACTAACACTAGTCAACAGTAGACAGACTCCACTGAGCATACTCAAACACTTCAGGCACCCTGAAGCAAGCGTGACCTAAATTTTACAGCATTCTCCTGTAGCACTCCTATTCATCAGACTGGAGATGTGGCAGCTTCAGCTAAATAAACCTTCCACTGAAAATGTAATTAAAATTATAATTAACACAATCAATTCAATACTTCGTATTGTTTGATATTAAGTTATATTTGTTCTATGTTACTCCTGGTTTATTTTCAATGTACTATAGAACTGTACTCAAAAATAGTAATAACTGGATGGTTTGGCAGTTGACTGCATCATAAGCTCAGTTGAGAATGTTATGTGCTTTTCTTTCCATTTATACGAGCATTGGGAGACAAATTGAATAATGTTTTAAGTATCACTTAAAAATAAGTACTAATGAATCAAGCTCTTTATCAAAGAAATCTTTAGTGCATCTTGTAACTAATAGACATTTATGGAAATATCACCCACATTTTCCCCTCATCTTTTTTTAAAGAATATATTATAGAGAAATAAATACCTTGTGTACCAACTATTTCCATGTGAAGATGTGCTAGGCCACTGGCTATTGAAAGTGCCAATTTAATCATCCCATCTATTGTCACAGTATTTCTGTTTAAATAATCAAACAAGGAGCCTTGGTCATGATATTCAGAGACAAGCCAGAGCTGAGTCCAAGTTCCATTATCTATCAAAAGAAAAAAATGTTTCTGAACTATATGTATAAATTAGCTTTAAAAATTAGCAAGAGATTCAGTCATTTCAAGGTGAAGTGAATATTTTAAATACCAGTTTAACTATACACATTTTCCCCCCAAGGTCTGGAACAGCCTGCCACCAGAGGTGGTTCAAGCGCCTTCATTGAACACCTTCAAGATGAAACTGGATGCTTATCTTGCTGGGATCCCATGACCCCAGCTGACTTCCTGCCCTTTGGGCGGGGGGCTGGACTCGATGATCTTCCGAGGTCCCTTCCAGCCCTAATGTCTATGAAATCTATGAAATGCAACTGTCCTCTATTCTTGAGGTACCTCGGTGGCCACCCTAGTCTTGACACAAGACACTAAGGCCTATGATCTGCACTGGGTGCCATACAGGCAGACCCCTACACCTGTGCGGAGCTCCATGGCTCCATGCAAGAGACATTTCCTTGCCCTGAAGGTCACGGCAGAACCTCAGCAAAGGAATTTGATATCACAGTCAAAGTGACCATTATCCACTTGAACTTTACTAATTATTCCTTCAAACTGTTAAACTCACATCTCTGTGCTTTCGCAAAACAGGGGGAAAAGATCAAGTTCCTTGGGCTGCCACATGACAGGAAAAATACTGACCAGAACTAGTTAGAAAATTTATGATAGATCATTTTCTTTGCGTAAATGATGATTTGTTGAGGTTAAACAAAAACTTTCCTTCAACAGCTCTGCAACCACCCGGGTTCCTTTGGAGCCCACTAAGTGAGCTGCCCCAGAGGTGGGACTCCTCGGTCCCCAGCAGCAGAACCAGCAGGCGGTCCTGAACTGGGGCTCCCAGGACAGCCACACGCCCCAGCTCTTCCAGAGCCAACTTAACAAAAGTTTGGTTTCTTTCAACTCCCAACCTCCCCAGGACCCAGCCCAGCAGGCTGTTCAGATTCCCAGCCCATCCCTCCTGTCATTATCAAGACAGGGGTTTCCTTAGTGCCACCCCTCCCAGCAGTACGCCTGGAAGCTTCCTTCCCTCCAAAAGCAGTGCTGGAGGATATGGAGACATGGGACAGTTGAAAGGGGCATTACTGATATGTTGCTAAAAATGAATAATCCCTTCCACAAGAAACCCCAAGGTTCAAAGTTCTGTCCAGCTGCGAGTGAAACAGAACCTTGAAGGCTGAGAATTTCCCAGTAGACAGATGGGGTTTTTTCAGCCAACTTTAATTGTCAAAAGATGTCTGGAAAGATTATATACCCTTGTTATCAGCAGCAATAAAACCCAGGATATTTTCGTGTCTCAGCATAACTGTTTGATAGATTTCCGCCTCACGAAACCAAGACCTTTCATCCCTTGAAGAGAAGATTTTTACAGCAACATCTTCCCCGCACCATTTTCCACGCCAGACTTCGCCAAATCGACCTTTTCCTACTATTTCCTGAAGAACAATAGTCCTTGCAATTGTTCTTTGCACTAGCAGAGGCAAACCTAATAAAGAAGAATAAGGATGCTTTGTTTAAAAAAATGTACTAGAATTTATTCAGTCAGATTAAAAATAAATTGTTGTGATTACATGGTCCTATGACCAAAAACAAAAACTCACCAGCATACCCACAGACATGCACACAATTTTCTGAGACTATTCTTTCAATTCTATTTGACAGATTAATGCACTACTCTGAACTGTAAACATTATGGCAGAACAAAATATCATAACATTTAATTTTTAAAAGCCCCCATATTCAATGGCATAACTGAGTGAGAGAGAGGGAAGGGACCGATTTGGGCAACTGTCCTAGGCTTTGCCCCAGTGTTACGCATACTGTAGCCAGATTCATGTGAACAACAACTCATTACCAAACCAGGGCTAACAAGCAAACATCTGAAACAGGGTTGTATATCTTGTTTAATTGGTTCTGTTAACAGGGTAATAGAAAGCTCTCACCTGGCTCATGAAATAAGCTTAACCAAGAAAATACAATGTAGCTCAAGAAACTTAAACCTGACACATCTACAAAATAATGTTAAGGTGAAAAAAGGCTGAGCTGCATGGGACGTTCTACATGAGAAATTGTTCCAGCACACAAAAGAGATTTGTTAAGCAAAGACTGATGTGAAAAATCCACAATAAGCTACAGTAATTCTGAGACCAACAATGTTTCATTAAACAAAGAATGAAATATGTCTACATTATAAAATATCCCCTGAAACATATTCACATTGCCACTATTACTTATGATTTTTTCACTTCTATTACAGTGAGGGCAAACAGGTATAAGGATAAGTAAGTCTGGCTCCAATCTGTCTCAGACAGCCGGAGCCGACTTGAGGATCGCTGATTACTCGGCCGTCAGGCGGGCTGGTGGATGGAGAGGCGGGACACAGCGTATTGGTTGCAAAATAACTTTTACTTTAACTTTACTTACGCCGCTGGTGGCCGCGATGCAGGTGGTAAGGTTGCTTACGTAGTTACAGGCAACGAGTTGCTTGCGTAGTTACAAGTAACTGGCAACAAAACGAGCCAGCGAGTCCGTAGACAGAAGCGAGCATGCAGGATGAAGGATACGTCGGGACAGACGGTGATGGGGAGATGTTGGAGGATGGCCAGTCTGCCAGCTTTTCTCAGCCACGTGGCAAAGTTCTCCGTACTCTACCACGTGCTCAGAGCTCTCCGACTTGGGCGGAAGCTGCACGGATTTTTATACATTTAGGAGTAGCCAATAACAGACTGCCAGGTAGGAATAGCTAATGAGGCAGAACGTACCAAATTTGAAAGTAATTGGGCAGTTCTATTGTGACAGGGGCACTCAACTCATTTGGTTATGACATGCCCCCTTGACCATGTCACAATAGACAAGGGAATTAGGTTACAAGTAATTTTCGTCTAGGAACTCGTCGTCATCACAGGATTCAGGTGGCAGGCGAGTATATACATAAGCAGATAGCTTAACAAATCGCTTTTTAACAAACAGTAAAATACAACAACCCATACATACAACAATGGCTATTACTATTAATGGTAAACACAAGGTAATGAGGGGAGTCAGTAAATGCATTAACCAAGATGACGTGTCCCATCGCATCCAGCCGAAAATGTCAGCTAACCATCCCTTCCCGATTCCGGCAACGTTGTTGGTGTCTGCGGCAATTTGTTTTATATGGTCGAGCTGATCTTCTAATGGAATAGTAACGTTAGGTATGCTAATACAACAGTGTTCCCTAAACAAGTTAAGGAATTGACACATGCCTCCCAGATGTAGCATTGCGTCGAGGGCTAAGTGGTTTTGCATGGTCATGTGCGATGTAGCCTGTAATTGCTGGTTTAATAACCACAAGGCTGTTTCGGTACTATTGGCTGGAAGCTCAACTTGTTCAGCTAACTTGGTGATATTGACTCTTGCCTTGCCTATCCCTATTCCCCATGCAAAATAACCTTCAAGCGCCCATACGAATTTTTGGTTGACTTTCTCTTCGTCTGTTAACTCGCTCCACACCGGAGCGCGTCGCTTATGGCAACGAAGTACGGCCGGACTACGCGGGTGAGATGTGTCAACACTTAAGGGGGGGCAAAGCATTACTGTACTCAAAAAGCATTGGACGCCCGTTAAGGCGGCCGGGAGGTTAGTGTAAAGCTGCCCGTCCGAAGAAGCCCATAACAGCCCTAAAGTTGCCGGCGTACTAATTAATGCACAGCTTTGACCTTTCCAATTGACTGAAGCTACTTTGCGAGGAAGATCGACCATGTTGGCGGGCGTGTCGTAGCCATGGCACCACTGACTGAGTCTGGCCGCCCTTAAGATGGGATAAAAATATGAGCACCAATCTTGGGCATCCAATATATTGATGGCTAGTGACTCGTTCCAAGAGACTAGAGATCGGGGCTGCTGAAGGACGGATGGAACCGGGCCAGACTCATCTCGTGCCCTGGTTTTGTTCGGGCCTGGGGGAAGGGCTAGGTACCATGTTGGAGTAATGGCTGTGGGGTTCCAGGCTAACGAATTATCGTCCCTGGACCACTTTACTCCTTCTGGGTTAATTCCCCACGGTATTTTTGAACACGCAATGTTATAGAAGAGCCGAACGGGGCCAGGTGGAAACATAGCCTCCGATCTGCAGACAGAGCAGTTCATTTTGGATAAGGTCAAGTTACGTGGCCAAGAATACTGGTAATGGACGGTGTGTTGGCGCTGGGAATATATAAAAGAATGTTGAGTTATCGTAATATTGGGGTTCGGATTGGTGTTCCGGGCTTTAAACCACTTATTAACATTAAGAGGGTATACAAACGGGGTTAACACTGGGTCGTTAACAGAAAGAGGCAGGCGTAAACATGCGGTGAGTCCTGACTCGCTACTATCTCCCGTGATGTTCGCCCAGAGTGACAAAAGGGACAGAACCGAGTTAGAGGTTGCGAAGTCAGTTCCATTCGCTGAGGAACCCATTGGGAACAGCAGAAGCATGACGATGATCCCATCCACAACGTTTGAGTAAGCGGCCATTACTGTGTCGACCCAAATGTGCTACGCTGGATCTCGTGATCGAGCAGCTGTAGATTGCCGCTTCGTCACCGCCAGGCCTGCAAGGAAACAAAAGAAACAAAAGAAAAACGTAATCGGGTTCACTACAAGGAAACTGGGTGAACAGCAGAACGGCGAGTCAACCAATTGTGGTGAACGATAATAGGGGGACGATCGGGCTTTTCCTCCAATAGGACGGAATAGGTGTTGGGATACTGTTCCGACCGTTGAACTGTTCCCTTGTAGACTTGTGGATGAGATTGACGAGGGTGCGGTATCGAAACCCACACTAACTCATCGGGTTGGAATTTAGGTTCCCAGGATAGAGGTTTCTTGGGATCAGCCTCGTCCCATAGTGGTTTTGCGGTGTTCAGCAAAATGAGGACGTCATGATTGTGCTTAGTCCAGTTTTTGTACGTTCCTCCCCCTCTGAGGCGAAGTTGTTCTTTGTATAAGCCGATGTGTCTCTCTACGACGCCGTTGGATTGTGGGTGGTATGGCAGATGGAGATGCCATGTGACGTTGTGAAGACGAGCAAATTTTTCCAGGGCATTAGAGTTAAACAGGGGTCCTTTGTCAGACTGAATTTCATGAGGAGGTTGCCAAGCGGCAAATGTAGCAGTTAAGGCGGAGACAACGGCAGTGGCATTGCTTTTCTGTAAGGGAATGACCTGTAACTGGCGCGTTCCCAAATCGACGATGACTAATCCCTTACTTGGCGGTTTGGACCCCGGGAGGGGCCCGAGCAGATCTATTTGCCAGACTTTTCCCACCTGGAATTGCGAGGGGTTGAAAGCTCCGTCTTGATGTTTGGTTCGATGGCACTTTTCTTTTGCACATCTCACAAGCCTGTGCTACCTTTTCCCAATCGTGTCGAATGCCATACAAGGTAGGCTCCGTAGCGGCTTGGCGCCAGCGTCGATGGCTGGCCCGCGGTCCCGGGTGACCCCAATTCTCATGAAGCCATGCGAGGAACGGGCTTACTTCGGGATCGGGAGTAGTGGTGATGGGCAGAACTATGTCGGTCCAGAGTGGATCTTCCAAGAGCTTGTCGATGGCCTCATGCACTGGGTCGGTGTCAGGGCGGTGTGACTTGGTGTGCTTAACCAGTGGGAGCCGTGTAAATTTAGTCAAAGTTTCCCAGATGTCTTCCCAATTATTTAAATTTTTGGTGGGAAGGGCTGTGCCAGTAAGGATCTTATAGATGTACTGCGAGTCGATTGCAATGATTGGAACTGGAAGTGTATCATTGTGGTGCATTAGACAGTGTTGCAGCACTTTAAGGAATCCCATCAGTTCGCATTTTTTGAGCAGAATTGTCGTCTGGGTGGGCCCAGAGTATTTCCGCGTCGTGACAGGCCTTACAATAGTACCCATAGCCTCTGCCGTGTCGGGAGGTTCCGTCCGAGGCCATCCAGGGCAGGGCAGAGGTTCCATACAGCGTTGGGGGTTTCTCCCCATCCCCCGAGTTGGGGTCGGGTGGTATGTCTTCAAATTTCCAACAGCACCAGTTGTAATGATGGGTGAGCACCAACGTGTTCCACGTCTTAGGCTCTCCTTGAAAATACGGGTCGACCTTTTCTGCATCTAACAAAGGCAACAACGTGGTGGCGGGAGCGCAGAGCGTTCCGTGCTCCCTTGCTAATGGCTCCACTAGCTGTCCAGCCAGAAGGATCTTTCCTACGGCTCCATACCGATGTTGTGCTGCTTGAAGAGTTTTATGAGCTGTGTATACCAGGTCACTGCGAGAGTTGTGCGCGACAGCCCACACGTGGTTAATGGTGAACCCAAGAGTTACGATTAATGGTTCACCAAGGTTGATTGCATGGAGCTGCGTATCCTTCACAGCGGCTAACAGGCAATGCAGGTTCCGCTGATCCCCTTCCGTCCAAGGTGTGGATTTCCGGGACTTGTCACAGATCTGTCGCTGTAACTTAGTGAGGAGCGTTAGATGGCTGGGGTTAACAAAGT